GAGAGAGAGAGAGAGAGAGAGAGAGAGAGAGAGAGAGAGAGAGAGAGAGAGAGAGAGAGAGAGAGAGAGAGAGAATAGACTGTTTCTGCAGAAATGCAGCGCAGAATATCTTCTTTAAGTACTTTCAAAAGGACTGGGAGGCGTAATTTGTTATATACCAGGAAGTCTCTTTTTAGGGTTCCCCAAACGGCTTGGCAATGATTGAACTCTGCCTCCTGAATGGACGTGTATCTATTGGATGTGGGCATATGCCCTCCTTCCTAGTTGGGATGTATTCCACTCATCCTTCATTCCCCTTGTGCATTTCCTCTTTTCCTTTCTGTGTTTGCCATTCTGTTTCTCTGCACTGCTGAGTCCAGGGCATGAGTTCCTCTGTCTTTCCTCTGTCCTCGTTACACCCGCCTTCCCTTTTCGCAGTATTTCATTACTCAATGCTCATTCTTTCCTGACCCAAGTTACCCACCTGTGCTCCACCCTCCTCGACTCCAAACCCCTGCACCTTCCTTCCATGTATGATGTTAACAAGCATTCAATGTCCCCGACCTCATTCTTCGTGTCTCTTGTGTGTGTTGTGGGGGGGCCACGGGGCGGGGGAAGCGGGTGGGTGGCGGCGTGCAGTATGTGTGTGTGTGTGTGTGTGTGTGTGTGTGTGTGTGTGTGTGCACGCGTTGGTCTTGTTCTTTTGTTGTGTCCAAGAGAGAGAGAGAGAGAGAGAGAGAGAGAGAGAGAGAGAGAGAGAGAGAGAGAGAGAGGACGTGGGGGGAGAGAGAGAGGGATGTGGGGTGCAAGCCAGGTATGGTGTTTCACTCTTTTCACATTGGCAAGCTTGCACGGCGTTTGAACGAGTCTGAGATTTATTTTTTTTTCTATAAAAGATAGATCTCAGTTGCTGGTTGGTTCTTCTGCTGATCACAACCGCTTGTTTAAACTGTTCTGGTGGAGCTGGTGAGCCCGCTGGATGGTTTAGAACGATCAGAGAGAGTGGGTAGGTCACGACCTGGCAGTAGAGTTGGGTCTTAAATATGAGAGCAAGGACTGATTTGTTGCAGCTTGTCTGTCGTAGCAAGGAAAATGAGAAGAACAAATTTATTGTCTCTGTGTAAGTAGTGTTCCAATCATCTTCCCTGGAGAGTGGAGAAGTGGTACACAGCTTCATTATCTTTTACACAGCATTATGATCTTTTGTTTTCCCAAAATCACAGCTTTGTATGTGATCTTGGTGAAGGAAGCATTATCTTGCTTCATCATTTCGGAAAAGTAATAATAATAATAAAGTGATTTGCCCTGGCTTGTTCTCTTCCCAAGGTCTTTGCAAATCATGACAAAGGCAAGTGTCCCCTCTCTTATTCCTCCTCCTCCTCCTCCTCCTCCTCCTCCTCCTCCCTTCACTTGAAATTGTCCGTTGTTCTACTTCCTCCCCTGTTAGACTGGGATGGGAAGGTGCATCCTTTTTTTTATGTGGGAGCGCGAGTGCCAGATGGTGGCCACTGGCCAGTGCTAAAATGATCACATGACATGACAGGTGTGCAATGGCTTTTATGTTTTTGTTTCTTCTGGGAAATGGCTTTCAGCCTTTCAGGCGTCTGGAGCAGTATAGGTGACATTTAGTGGAAAACCAGGTGCAGCTGGTTGTACGGTGTTAGTTCAGTCAGGTAGATGTGGACTGCAAAAGGAAGGACTGGATTCAATCCGGACCACTTAGCATCCCCATTATGAGGTGAATGGATGGTACATTTGTTTGCAATTGAGACAGGGCACGGGGAGCGTGTGTCAAGTGTTTGTGCCAATTTTTATGGGTATATATGGGTATATAATAAGACTACTATATACGTATTACGTACTATGCGTCGTCACTGTAAATGCAGTAAATTCAGGTGGCCATATTCTCTCCGCCTTCTCCTCACCCCCATCAACGGCATGTGCTGTTTATGCATCTTGATTGCTGTACTTGTTCGATGATCTCTCTCTCTCTCTCTCTCTCTCTCTCTCTCTCTCTCTCTCTCTCTCTCTCCACACACCATTACATGCTTGCACAGGGCAGCAATGTGCTTGGCGGTCAGAAACCGTTAGGCACAGGGGGCACGCCCATGTTTTTTGTTTCCTTCTTTCTTGTCGCCGTTACCTCCCGCAAGTACACGTTCTGTTTAGGTGTTGGCTTCGCGGAGCTCTCTCTCTCTCTCTCTCTCTCTCTCTCTCTCTCTCTCTCTCTCTCTCTCTCTCTCTCTCTCTCTCTCTCTCTCTCTCTCTC